GATTTTACCGCTGGTCGTCCTCCTATTATCCAATACTGTTGACGGATGTATGCTAATGTTATTTGTGTACATTCATGAAGTGTTTTTAAATGTGCTTGTTCAATGATGAAATTTGTAAATTGTGATATTCTTGGTAGAATGGCTGGATATTTATTTTCTTCCGTGATTAAAGCGTTAATTAGTCTTCCTCCAACTCTTAAAATTCCTTGTGCATCGATGTATGCTGTAAGTCTGTGAAAAGTGTGTGAAGAATGCAATTAATTCCCTTTTTGATTTCATCTCATTTAGTTCATGTGAAAAATATGTTTTTTTGTGTCAATCGTATCCAATGTATTTTTGTTTGTTCTATTTCAGCGTGTGTTAATGGACTTATTGATGGCTGTTTCCCTTTTAAGCGTGCAATGAACCTGATGCATGTTGCTGTTATTTTCAATAGTTTTTTTAATGATGAATATTTATAAATGATTTTCCAATCGTATTCCGGTTTTTTAAAAGCTGTTATTAATGCGATACTTGGACGGGCTTCCAGTTTGCATTGTTCATTCTCATCTGTTGGTTGTATTGGCCATCAGCTTTGTGTAGTCATCCATGGTGGACCAGTCCACCATAATGAATGATCCTTGAGTTGTTGAGTAGTTAATCCTCTAGAAGGACAGTCTGCTGGATTTGATGTTCTTGGCACATATTTCCATTGTGCTTCTGATGTTAATTCTTGTATTTGAGTGACTCTATTACAAACGAATTCCTTCCATTGTGATGCATGAGATTTAATCCAAGTTAGTGATACTCGAGAGTATGTCCATAGGGTCCATAGGTGCATAGCCCTTATCTCCATGGTTAACGTGGTTTTTATGCGAGCCATGAGTTTTGATAGTAGTAGTGCAGCTGTTAATTCTAATTTCGGAATTGTAAGTTTTTTGAGTGGTGTGACCTTTGTTTTTGAACATATGAATGCAATATTTGTTTTTTTGTCGTTATTATGAATAGACACGTAAATAACTGCGGCCATTGCAAGTTGTGATGCGTCAGCGAAACCATGTAATTCTATTATGGATGACTTTTCAGTTTTGAACCAACGGGATATTGATAATTGATTTAATTTTAATAAATCTTTTCTGATATTAGACCATCGATCAATGACTTGGTTTGGGAGTGGATCGTCCCATCTGATAGTATGGAGTCATAATTCCTGAAGTAGCATATTTGCTCTTATTATTACTGCGGATGCAAATCCCAGTGGGTCAAATATTTTTCCAATGTCTGAAAGAATTGTGGGTTTTTCTGTGGGCTCAATGATGTTGAAAATGTAAATATGTCTTCATGAGTCTCCATTGTAATCCTAGAATTTTTGTAGTGTGATCGCTGAAAGTTAATGATTGTTGTGAATTTTGTGATGCTCTGATGGCAGTGAGTACTTCCTTTTTTGTATAGTGTTTATGCATAATTTCCATAATTTATGCATAATTTCCTTAAATTTGCTGCATATCATCAATGGTATTTTTTATAGCCTGTGCTATAAAAATATTTATATTTATATATAACTAATATTTGTGCGTTCTTCGCCGAGATTGTTAGTTAATATTTTGAAAGTAATAATCCGAGCCCACTGAGATTGTGCTTTCATTAATTGTTCATTTGTTAGTTTTATTTTGGTTGAATTACATGTAGTGCGTTCTTGACATTTTGAGTTGACATTTTGTTAATTATTACAATAGTAGTGTACTTACAGTATTAAAAAGATTCTCTTTAATTTATGATAAGTATGATAAGTAGTATCGGAAGAATGCACTGAATTCCACTTATCCGGCTCGAAGGACCAAAATGTCTGGGATCAGACTAAAAACCTTCTTTAGATGTTGAGTGGATGTTTTGCTGGCAAGTGGAAAGGACGGTGCAATTATTGAAAACTACCTTTAATGTTTATCGTTGTTTCTTTTATTAAAAAAGATAATAATAATAAATAATGAATTATGAAGTATATAAAAATGATATAATAGATTAAATATAAGCTTTCTTTATTGTTACGTATTATGAATGTATATCCTTCTTTGTTGTATAATTAGTAAATGCTATCTTAACATACTTTAAATTGTTGACATATGTGTTATGGTTTAGTGTCGCACCTATGATAGGCCGGTCTTATCTGTAATATGTTTTAATATTATTATGCTTGATGCCGCGCCTTTATTACATCGGTCTTATCTATGAGTAGTATGGTTGATGCTGCGGCTTTATTAAGTCGATCTTATCTGTAATATGTTTTACTATTATTATGCTTGATGCCGCACCTTTATTACGTCGTCTTATGTATGAGTTGCTTCAATATATTTTATGTTTCACTATTGTTTTATGGTCACTAATACGTTATTAATAATTTTAGAATAAATGTCAATAATTCTTTCGTTTTCTATTAGCTCGTGAAGGATACTGCTACGTGTTGCGTCTGTTATGCTATGGAGCCGTTGCAGGACTTTCCAAGTCTTTCACCAGTGGGTCGTTAAGGAAGAAGGTCCACGCATCAGTGCTCCGAGCCCGAAGTAGTTGCAGGCCTTTCCAATACTAGTGCGTTTAACACGAAGCCGTTGCACGCTTCTCATATTAGGTGCCATAGCCACCTATCACTCACTATAGTTGACCAATGATTCAGTGCGACCGCGCACTTGCTCAGACTCAGTGCCCGACCGTCCGAAGTGGTTGCTGGTAGAGATCTAAAACAGAAACTGGTGGATTTAGTCTAATTCTAAATAATATCATATTATGTTATTTTGTATTATATTCGATTTTATCTTATTGTTTCTTTAACTAATATATTGTATCATATTCAAATATATTAGAATTATTAATTAGTTTAGTTTAATAAATTTGTAATTAATTTAAATATAAGAGCTTTGATACAATCAAAAGTTAAATCAATACATATACAAAAGAGAAAGCAAATCAAATATCGACAGAGCTATTGATTAAATATATATATATATATATATATATATATATATATATATATTACCACACCACCATTAACAACTCATTATTATGTTAAAACCCATACAATTTTTATTTTTATAATTTGTAAAAGTATATTATTTTTTGCAGAATCAAATGATTTGTACTACTAAATTATAAAATATATAAATAAAAAAAAATTAATGGTATTAAAATTTCTTATTTTAAAATAAAAATTTCTATTCTACGGAAAATAAGAATATCGTATTTTAAAAACTGTCAACACAAAATCATCGTGTTATTTCCTAAAATCAATAATAAAAATTCAATGTTGATAAATTTGTTTTAATTTAATACGAGGCATTGGTTAAAGGAATTAATTTTTTTTTGTATTAAAATTATAATATTTTCAATTTATCTAATAATCTATCTTATCTGATGAAAATATGCATTTACACGATGTCAAGTAGTCCTCACATGAAATTGAATATGAAGTATAATAAGTATAATGTAATTTTATTCAATACAAAGGTAACTATGCAATTATGCAACTATAACTAAATTTTAATGCATGAATAAAATATAAATTTAAATAGTTAAACGATTGTATGGCAACGAATCAGTAATTCATCATGTTTATAATATTCAATTTCATTGTATTAATGAGTATGAAGCAAAATTCCTTTTACATATCAGTGCACAATTAAAATTTTGCATTATGTAATTGATACAAACTGTACAAAAATTTTAATTACATGTGTATGTAATATGTCGAAATAACTTCAAAAACTAAGTCAATATTTATAAGTCTTATTAGTAAAATGACTTTTTAAAATTTGAATATGTAAATTACGTATGTGTATACTCTTATACGTATACTCTTAAATTTGCCTACGTTATTTATCATTTTACCATGTACTATATATTGTATAATTAAATCGTGTATAGAAAAGTATACGATATCAATTATAATCTGCATTTGAAATGGTGCTCTATACGTTATTTATGCGATTTACAGTTTTTCTCTTTTTCCAAGAGAAATTTCAAGTATTCATTCTTAATTAATGTGAAATATAATCTGTAGTCTCATATTTTCCTGTAAATAAAACATTTTTCAAGCATAAACTTTATTAGAATAGAATATATTGTACAAATGATTTTATTATGAATATATTATGAATTTTATTTTGATAAAGTTTGGTTAATTAATAAATTAATTTTCAATTCATATTTAAAATTTTTTAAAGTAACTATGTATAAATGTGTGTAACTATTAACTTAAAATAGTTTAACAAATTTTTATTTGTTTCTAGTTTAAAAGCAGTAGTTGGTTAATATTAATTCAGCAAGTTATCAGTTTGACTATGTGTAGCATTGCTGTAGAGTGATTTAGCTTTCCTCAGAGTAAACAGAAGTATCAGTTAATAATCTGTTTATTTAAAAGTCACTTGAGTATTTTACCATATGTATAATTACAATAGTGTCATTGATAATTCTGATCAATTGCAAATCATTCTTGTTATTTATTAAAAATATATCAATGCTTTAATTATTTATTAAAATCCCTTCAAACTTTATATTGAAGTTACAAATATTTGATCTCATTTCCAATTCAATGAACATATTACACATTTGATATAATATAATATCTGAATACTTTATTTTTAGTTAAATTTGAAATGATTCTAATTATTTTTTCCTTATAAAGTAAAATAAATGTTTATAGAAAAAATTATATCTAAATAATTAGGATATTGTAAAAGTAAAACATGTTAATTATATTTTAGAAAGTTACTTGTTAACAAAGTTGATTTATAAGATTTTTGCAAAATAGTATATATAATTTTATTAAATAAGTTAAAATTTTTCATTATTAAAGCAATTAATATTTTATTCAAGTAATGCTAGAAGTTAAGAAAATGGAATAATTTATATAAACTACATGATTATATTCTTGATCATATTATCCAATATTATATATCGATGTTCATTAATTTTAAGGTTACTTTGAGTAAATTTATGTCAAATTTATTTATTCATTTAATTACATTGTCAATGTAAAATAATGGATATTTGTACCACTAAACAAGAAAATAATAAAAAAAAGATTGATTCATTAGAACTTCAAATACATCCAACAGAATTTGTTAAAGAAATTGTAATGAGTTGCAATGAGACAAATTCAAAATTTTGTGAAAATCAAGGTATAATTAAATTTAGTGTTATTTAATATGTAGGCATTTAAATAAATTTTATAATGATATTGATTTCAGATAATCATGTTGAAATATCTACAAATCATTTTGATAAAGATACATTTAAAAAACCAGTTATTATTGGTCCGAGAAAAGGTTACCCAATAAAATTGAAAACTTTATCAGATAATATTTTAAATAAAGTATTTCAACCTAAAGAACAGCAATCTAATACTAAAATAAACAATATTAAGATAAATTCAACAAAAAAACCTGATAATTTTAAGTGCCCACTTAAAGTCCAAAAAGAAAAAGAACTATCATTATTATATAAAGAACCTTTATGGAGTGGAAAATTACAAGAAACATATAAATTAGAAGTTTTGAAATCAGGTATAATATTAGAAACAATAGATTTATCAGAAAAAAATTATTATGTTATCGGACGACTACCAGCATGTGATATTTCAATGGCACATCCAACAATATCTCGTTATCATGCTATTTTACAATTTAGAATAGCTGATGATGAGACAAATAGAAAAGGAATATATCTTTATGATTTAGCTAGTACACATGGAACTTTTTGGAATGGAAACCGTATAAAACCTAAATTTTATGTTCACGTTCAAGGGGGACATATACTTCAATTTGGGTGCAGTCAAAGAAAATTTATCATACAAGCACCATTGGATGATCAACAAGAAGAATCAGAGTATTCTCTTACTGAATTAAAAGAAAAAAAGATATTAAAACAGAAGGATACATTGGAAAACAAACAATTATTAGAAGAGGTTGTAAATGAAAGTGTTAACAAAGAAGATGTAGCTGAAGGAATTAATTGGGGAATGAGTGAAGATGCTGATGAAGAAACTGATTTAACTGAAAATCCTTATGCACAAACAAATAATGAAGAATTATTTATGTATGATCCAAAAAAATCATTACGTGGTTGGTTTGAAAGAGAAGGGTTTGATTTAAATTATCAAACAGAAGAAAAAGGTATAGGAAGATTTTTATGTTATGTTGAGTAAGTATTTATTGTTTGTATAAAAGTTTACATTATTAAATAATAATTAGTATTTCGTAAATTTAACAAATTGTCTATACTTATCAGTATACCTATAGATCCATATCTACAAAGAACAATTAGAGCAGAAGCACTTGTAATTGGGAAGAAAAAAGAAGCAATTGTTCAATGTGCTTTGGAAGCATGTAGAATATTGGATAGGTATGGACTCCTAAGGCAGGCAAATCATGGTAAATTCAGTTATTATCTTATTTGTAATTGATTATTTTAAGCATTATAATATTTCATTATTCAATCATTTAATAATTTCTATTTAATCATTAAATTCTTTTTAAAGGCTTGAATTAAATTATAATTAAAAAAACAATAATGAAATTCTCATTATTCTGTTTATTAATTATTTATTATTACTTACATAATATCTAAAATTTTATTTTTTTAAAAATAATTATATTTATCAACTCTATTTCAATAAAATACAACAAATGTTTGTATTATGTTTTGTTATAGAAAATAGAAAAAAAAAATCTCGAAATTGGGAAGAAGTGGATTATTATGACTCAGATGAAGATAATTTCTTAGATAGAACTGGAATAATAGAAAAAAAACGGGAAAGAAGAATGAGACTAGCAGGAAAGCTTGTTTCAAAAGTTGAAACATATAACTCATTGGTTGGTTAAACATTTTTTTAATTTATTGACAAAAATTATTTGTACCTGCATATTATTTCAAATATTTGTTTAGTTTCAGAAACATTCAACAGTTGTCAAGAAAATTGAGTCTTTAAAAAATGCAATTTCTTTACAAAAAATAAAACAAAATGAAATATGTAACTCAAATGTAGATGCTTTAGATGCGTATATGTCAATTTTAGAATCAACATCATACAATAAAACAGAAATCAAGAAAATGAAAATGGAGCTTCAGAATTTACGAAAAGAAGAGATGCAATTATTAAAACTAATAAATTTAACGAAGCCAGCAAATTTACCCCTTTTGAAGCCACGTGTATTAAATATGATAAATAAATCAAAACATGATTTTAAAACATTAAAATCTACTATTGATCAACAAACGAATTACAAATTTTCAGAAAAGGTTAGAGTTAACTGTATGTTATATTAAGATCTTTTAAAACTAAGAATTATTTAATTCTTTCTTTATTTTATTTTTATTAAAAGTTTTAACTACTTTACAAGTATAAATAATGAAAATGATGTTATCCTTAAAGATGTATCTGTAACAAAGATGAATATTTTATAATTTAAAAATATTGCATTTCCAAGCCATTTATATCTAAGTTTTTGTATATGCAATATGAAATAAGCAGCTATTTCATGAAGTAATAATTATACTTAAATATAATACTTGTATACAACTTGAATGAATAAATTTAGTATAAAAGTTAATGTTAATTATCTAGCTTTCAATTGTATATCATTATTTAAAAAATTAGAGATTATAATTTATTTGATTAAAAATTTTGTTTTTATTAGAAATTAAAAACAGCATCAAAACAATTATTTCAAGATCATAACATAAGTAAGCATGAAAATTTAAAAAATTTAAATAAAGTCAAAGACTTAGAAAAATTTCAAGAAAATGAAACAATCAAATTCGAAATAAATATTCAAGATTTTTGCTTGCAAAATATAAATACAGAATTTGTAAAGTTACCAAAAATTAGTATAAATCAAGATCTTGAAGAAAACACAGAAATTGAGAAAATTAATTTAAAAAAAAAAAATGTATATACAAAACAATATCATCAAAGGACAGAAAATTCGAATTTATATCTAGATGATTATAATAAAACGAAGTTCAGAGAAGATTATAGTATGTGGCTTCCTCCAGAAAATCAGTGTGGGGATGGGAAAACTATTCTAAATGAAAAATTCGGATATTAAACATATATAATTAAGGTTCAATAATTTGTGCACTAGAATATTTAGTATCTATTGAACTGATGGTGTTTAGCTTAATAAGAATTCATTCTATAAAAAATGTTAATATAAAAAATTCCAATTAAACAAAAAGTTTTATATGAATCTTACCATAATTAACTTAATAAAATGCAGTATTTAATAATAATGTCATATAAATACAATAAAATGAAACATCTGTTTGTATTATTGTTTGCTAATGATAAATTATAAGATAGATAAATAATTTTTAAAAAATATAAAAAAAGCGAGAAATAGAAAACCAAGATTAAAAATTTAGATTAAACACCTGTGCATGTATAAATGTTTGTTGCATTTTTAGTTAAATGTTGTTTTAAGTAAATTTTATTAGAATATTTGCTATATAAATATGCTGTAATAGTTGAGTATATTAGAAAATATATTGCATTTCTTTAAATCTCATGCAATTGAATAAGTTATAAAACAAGAAACTGATGAATTCAGATACATACGCAAAACACAAATAAAGGGATAATAGCGTTATTAATTATACATACTATTTTAATCTGAGAAGACGTTAGTTATTAGTTCTATTATATTGTATTATATTATATTCTATTATATTATATTATAATATATTATATCTATATAATATATATATATATATATATAATATTATATAAGTATATATATAATAATCTATATAATATATATATATTATATCTATTATATTCTATTATGAGAATATATTATAATAAATTAGTTTCCTATATTTTCCTAGAAAATTAGATATATTGAAATTGTTAAAAACATATGCTTAAAATACTGTTAATAAAATAAGCATTAACAGTTATTTTTATCAATTTTTAATATTGAACTCATAAATATTAATTTTTTGTTCATAATTTAACACATTTATAATGATAATCGAAGTATATTGATTTTTAATATGTAATCCAATAAAATCGAAGTTGTACATAAAAGTAAAGATATTCAAATTGATAATAATACAATAATGTATCATTAATAAACAATTATTATTAATTAATCATAATTTTTTAATTATTATATATAATAATACGTTGTATTAGAAAAAGTAAGTATATATCGCATCACCTTTATCTAAAAAAATATTTTTACATTTAATGACGTTATAAAATAATTAAAGTAAAATTAATTTTATTAATTTTATTATTATTGAAAATTTACAAATATAAATTTAATTTAAGACATAATTTTCAATAATTCTTTAGTAATTGGTTTTAAATCGGATAATCATAAAAGTCTGAGTTCATCTGTTTTCATCTTAGACATTTTCTGAGTTATACAAATTTTTTAAAATACTCATAAAAAATTTATAATCTATTATATAATTTAAACATAGAAAAAGTGTTTATTATTTATACTCTTACATTGCAGAATAAAATATTGTTATTGATACAAATTGAATTGAATTCAAATTGTTGTAATATGAGCAATTACATATATTGTGATAATATTTTAATCTATAAAAATTATATTAATATTAAAAAAAATTTTAATTAATATTTATATCATATGATTCGTTTAATTTGTAAGAATATATATAATCGTTAATATTAGAGTCTGTATTTTATCTATATCTATGACAAAATATATTGTTAAATATTCAATATCTAATATATGAAATAATAATGTAATAAATTATAAATAAAGAAAGATAGCTAATTATAGTTCTAATAAAGAGATGGACCATTAATTATATACTAAATTCGATAAAATTAATTACCATCAAACAAAATTTAGATTTGTGAACGATTAATACATCCACGTAGTTCGGAAGTGATGGTCTCTTTAGCGCTTCGATTATGATCTAGAACTAGACATTAATTATTAACAATTTTTATATTTCTTATTTAAACGAAAGAACAAAAATCTTGAAAAAACTATACTAAAACAAAATAACCATAAACATATACAAATAATGTATATCCAAATTATTAGTTATGATTAATGGTAAATGTTTTAATTTAAAAAGTACTACTTTTTACTACTGCAAATATTTTTGTCTTTATATTTACTAATAATTACTTACATGTTTTATTAGATAAAATTTTCTTCGGTGTATATAAACAAAGTTTCAATATTCACAGTTAAAAAATATTTTTCAAGAACTTTATTTAGTATAAATAAATTTAGTATAAAGTATAAAATTATTTTCATCAAATTAGAATAGAAATATAAGATAAAAATTTCACTAAATTGTTTATTCATTATTTTCTTGCATCTGATATATACTCGTTATTTTTTATATAATTATGTAATTAAAAATTTTTCCCCGAAATTATTTTGGTCATTAAATTATTTATGAAAAAACTATATTAAAATAACGTTCTATAATTAAAAGTTTTCACAAATATTTTTATTAAAAATTATTTAAATATCTTTTTAATTTATTGATGATTAAAAATCAAATTTTTCTACTAAATATGCATCAATAAATTCTTTTATAAAAAATGCACATAGAAGCAGCTTTTTGTTACGCCCAATTGAATTTAATACAATGCTTCTAGAATTTCCTTTTTGTTATCTACAGAAGTGCAACTCTAATTCAGTATTGTATACGATCAATTATTAGACAATTTAAGAAACATCATTCATTTCTATATAATCCATAAATTAAGACATTTTCATCTAATTGCCTTAAGTTATACTTCACATTATATTTCATATTTTTACGATAGATTAATTTCTTAGTAAAATTTTCCTATGAATCCGGTTTTGTTAGTTTTTTGCTCTTCTTGATTACAATACTTATTACAATACTTTTTATGAACATTTTTACAAGTTTAAATTTGATTACTAATTTTTGAAATTTTTTATCATATCTATATATTTATTCAAAGTTTTTGTAATATATATTTATATTTTAGTCTATAATTATAAAAATCATAATATAAGTATGCTATATAATTCTTTATATTATTAGTTATGGAATCATTTTTTATAATCTAACAAATTCTAAGGTGTCAATAATTTTTACAAATTTTTATGCTAAAAGTAATTAATATTATAAAATACTTTATCGGATATAAAGACAAATGGTTTCATTCATTTTTACTTCTCTATTTTAGTATCTTATAAATGTTTCAATAAATAATAAAATTTTAAAACTATATGATAAATAAGACAAATCTATTTTTGAATAATACAAAAATATTTAATCTTTAATTTAAAAATATATGAGTATGTTATAAAAATATATTCAATTGTACTTGTAATATATAAATGCAATCCCTAATTTATTAACAATTGATCGCACTAATTAATCAAATTTAATATATATAATTGGGTTTTTGTAATTATTCACAAACTAACTTCTTAATTATCCAAATATAAATGAATTAAATAAATAAATTGATCGTTAATTAATAAAATTAATAATACTATAGATTGCGCATTTTACTATGATGACTTTGGTTCATTTTTACACTTGGTAAGTGCTGCATTACATTTATTTTCGCCATTTTTATCAATTTCTCGATAGTTGAATCATGACCACAAGCCGTAACTCTATTAAGCAAATACACATGCTTATGCCTACATATACAAAGAAATCAGTACTATGCTTTCACTTTCATGGATTTCTAATATTGTGCATTGATCAATTTCATTAAAATTCATCGCTTGATCCTCAACAGTTGTAATCCTAAAATTTTCATTTTGCATCTCTTACTTAACTAGGTATTTTATAGCATATACGTTTCTTTTAAATATATAAGCATGTGAACTTGCATATTCGAGTTGATTTATAATATAGGTAAAATCAAAGACGTTTTTAAAAAATATAAAAATTACATACTTTAGTTTTTTTTTATTGACACTAAAGTTATAAATATTCTTTTTATAAAATTGTATACCTATTTTATAATTTAGTTATAATTAAGTTTATAATTATTTATTTTTTTGTTTATTTTCAGATAGAATTTGATGTAAATTGAAGAAATCCCAGTTTTAAAACATTCAACATTTATTTAACTATTTAGCTATTTTTACCTTACAAGAACAGTATTATGTTTATATTTGTGGGTTTCATTTTCATATTAATATATGCAAGTTTAAACCTCACTCATTGCTTTATTTTATAAGAAATATATAAATGTTCGAATACTTAGTCATAAGAATAGAAATAAATTGCTATATAAATCAATATCTATTTTACTTAACGATATATAAAATATAACACGTACTATCGTACTATAATTTACAAAAAGTTTATTTTTTAAATTGTATTTTATTCAACTTACATAATTATAAAATATTAATTACATCTATAAGTATTTTGAGCTACCATAAATGTAAATTTAAAATATTGAAAATTAATTGTAATTTTGATACTTATACAAGTATATGTAATCTACATACTTATTTTGTAAATTTGTTATTTATTTTATAAAGGTTATATATATATATATATATATAAGTTATATATTTTATAAATTATTTTTAAATATTAATTAATATATTTAATTTTAATTTAAAGTCGTTTTAACATGATCAATACTATTTTTATTTATATTATTTATATTATTATTATTATTAAATAATTATATTTAACATATAAATTTTATAACGATGTAAAATATATTTAATGGTACTCAATTTTTAGATATTTTTCTCAGTGTGCATATTAGCACAAACAATGAGTTATGATCCGGATGATAAGTATTTGAAAGATATTTTATTACCAAAAGGAGGGTTTGAAGCATTCTATTTAAAAGACGAAGAAGATAATGTAGCAAGACCTCCACATCTTCACGGCACTTTTCATAAATATAAAAATCCTGCCTTGATAAATACACCAAATAGTGCTGCTTATGGTTTTCGATTTGATGGAAAACGTAGATTTAATTTTGATAAATGATTTTTTATAATACTTTGTACATTTTATGAAATATAAATACTATATATTATTAAATAAATCAAATGTTTATAATCTTTTTCTATTATTTACTCTATCCTTGTCGTTTTGCTCCTTTATCCATTTTAACGATTCTATAGTTTCATACTTTTTGTTATTCCTATTCAATTATTCCTAATTGAATAATGTCGAATGATAAGATTGCGTAAACAATTGTCAACAATATTACTTAAGAAAGAATCTTAAA